GGATATTAGCCTTCGGTCATATATGGGTTTGGAGAACACCTTTTCCCATTCTGTGGGCTACCATTTTGTCCTTTTGATAGTGTTCTTTGCTTTACAGGAGCTTTTCAGTTTCAAGAGGTCCCATCTATTAATTGTCAATCTTAGTGCCTGTGCCATTAGTGTTTTGTTCAGGAAATTGTCTTCCGTGCCATTGCATTCAAGGGTATTTCTCACTTTCTCTTCCGTCAGGTTCAGTGTATCTGGTTTTATGTTGTCTTTGAACCACTTGGACTTGAGTTTTGTGCAGGGTGATAGATATGGACTTATTAGCATTCTACTACATGTAGATATCCAGTTAGATCAGCACCATTTGTTGAAGATGCTTTCTTTTTCCCTTTGTGTATTTCTGGCTTCTTTATAGAACAAAATCAGGTGTCCATAGATGTGCATATTTATGTCTGAGTCTTCAATTCCATCCTCTTGATCATCCTTTCTGTTTTTATGCCAATACCATGTGGTTTTAATTACTAGATCTGTAATTAAAAGCTGTAGTACAGCTTGAAATCAGGGATGGTGATACATCTGTATGTTCTCTTATTGTACAGAATTGTTTTAGCCATCCTGGGTTTTTTGTTTTTCCATAGAAGTTGGGTTTTTTTCAAGGTCTTTAATAATTGTGTTGGAATTTTGATGAGGATTTCATTGAATCTGGAGATTGTTTTTAGTAAGATATCCATTTTGTCTATATCCTACTAATCCTTTAACATGGGAGAGCTTTCTATCTTCTGATATCTTCTTCAATTTCTTTCTTCAATGACCTGAAGTTCTTGTCATAACAGTCTTTTACTTGCTTGGTTAGAGTTATCCTAAGATATTTTATATTATTTGTGGATATCATAAAAAAGAAATGTGTTGTTCCTCTGATTTCTTTCTCAGCCCATTTATAATTTGCATATAGGAGGGATACTGATATTTTTTTTTTTTTAGTTAGTCTTGTTAACCACATTACTAAAGGTGTTTATCAGCTGTAGGAGTTCCCTAGTAGAATTTTTAGGGTCACTTATGTATACTAGCATATCATCTGCAATTAAGGAAGTTTGGCTTCTTCCTTTCCAATTTGTATCCCCTTGATCTCTTTTTGTTATCTCATTGCTCTAGCCTGAATTTTGAGTACTATATTGAATAGATATGGAGAGAGTGGATAGCCTTGTCTTGTTCTAGATTTTAGTGGAATTGCTATGGGTTTCTTTCATTTAATTTGATGTTGGCTATAGGCTTGCAGTAAATTGCTTTTACTATGTTTAGGCATGTCCCTTGTATCCCTGATCTCTCCAAGACTTTTACAATAAAGGGGTGTTGGATTTGTCTAAGGTTTTTCAGCATCTGATGAGATGAATGTGTGTGTGTGTGTGTGTGTGTGTGTGTGTGTGTGTGTGTGTTTGTTTCATTTTGTTTATATGATGGGTTACTTCACAGTTTTTTTTGTATTTTTTTAATTAAGAGATTTCCTATTCATTTTGCATATCAACCACAGATTCCCCTGTCCTCCCTCCTCCTACCCCCAGCCTTCCTCCCCCAACCTACCTCCCATTCTCACCTCCTCCAAGACAAGGTCTCCTATGGGGAGTCAGCAGAGCCTGGTACATTCAGTTGAGACAGGTTCAAGCCCCTCCTCCCTGCACGGAGGCTGTGCAAAGTGTCTCAGCATAGGCACTTGGATCCAAAAAGCCAGCTCATGCATGAGGGACATGTCCTGGTCCCACTGCCTTGGGGTCCCCTATACAGTTTTTCATATGTAGAAACATTTCTGCATCTCTGGGAAGAAGCCTATGTGATCATGGTGGATGGTCTTTTTGATGTGTTCTTGGGTTTGGTTTACAAGTATTTTGTTGAATTTTTTATGTCAATGTTCATGGGGGAAATTGGTTTGTAATTCTATTTGTTGAGTCTTTGTGTGGTTTGGGTAGTAGATTAACTGTGTCCACATAAAATGAATTTGGCAATGTTCCTTCTGTTTCTATTTTGTGAAATAATTTGATGAGTATTGATATTATCTTTTCTTTGAAAATCTGGTAGAATTTTGCACTAAGACCATCTGGCCCTGGGCTTGTTTTGTTTGAGAGAATTTTAATGACTGTTTCTATTTCCCTAGGGATTATAGGTCTATTTAAATTGTTTATTTGATCTTGATTTAACTTTGTAAAATTGTGTATATTGAGAAAATTGTCCATATTTTATAGATTTTTCCAATTCGGTGGAGCATAGGTTTTTAATGTATGACCCATTGATATTGAGAGATTTTAATGACCAATGATTGTTAATGCCTGTTATTTTGTTGTTGTTGTTGGTGGTGGTGGTGGTAGTATGTGTGTGTGTTGTATGTGCGTTTGTGTTTGTGTGTGTGTGTGTGTGTTCTTCACTCTTTTGATTTTACTGGTGGATGATTATTTATTTCCTGTGTTTTCTTGAGCACAGTTAGCCCCTTTGGATTGCAATTTTTCTTCTAATAGTTTATGTAGGACTGAATGTGTATAGATATTGTTTAATTTTTAATTTATCATGGAATATTTTGTTTTCTCCATCTATTGTGATTAGAAGTTTTGCTGAGTATAATAGTATGGCCTGGAATCTGTGGTCTCTTATAATATGCTAGACAGTTGTACAGGCCCTTTTGGCTTTTAGGGTCTCTAATGAGAAGTCTGCTGTAATTTTAATAGGTCTGACTTTATATGTATGTTACTTGGCCTTTTCCCCTTTCAGCTTTTAATGTACTTTCTTTGTTCTATATGTTTAATATATATATATATGTGTGTGTGTGTGTGTGTGTGTGTGTGTGTGTGTGTGTGTGTGTGTGTGTATTTAAAGGACTTTCTTTTCAGCTCCAGGCCACATGGTGTACTATAAATTTCTTGTACTTTTACAAGCATGTCCTTTTTTAGATTAGGAAAATTTTCTTCCATCGTTCTGTTAAAAATATTTTCTGGGCTATTGATCTGGATTTTTTCTCATTCTTCTATTCCCATTATTCTTTTGTTTGGTCTTTTCATTGTGTCCCAGATATCCTGGATATTTTGTGTTAGGAATTTTTTAGGTATAACTATTTCTTTGAGCTAAGTATCTATTTCCTCTATTGTATTTTCAATACCTGAGATTATCTCTTCTATCTCTTGTATTCTGTTGGTGATGCTTGTGTCTCTAGTTCCTGATTTTCTATTTCTAGAATTCCTTGAATTTGTGTTTTCTTTATTGCTCCTATTTCCATTTTAAGGTTTGGAATTGTTGTACACATATCCTTCAAGGTTTTGTTTATTTTATATTGGCTTTCTTTAAGGGATTTATCCATTTCCTCTTTAAGTACTTCAATCATCTTCCTAAAGGTGGTTTTAAGTTTGTTTTCTTGTGCTTCAGCTGTGTTGCAATACTCAGGGCTTGCTCTACTAAGGTAGCTTGGCTCTAGTGGTTACATATTGTTCTGGTGGTTGTTCATTATGTTTTTACACTGGAGTCCAGGAATCTGTGTTTGAAGTAAGTGTAGGTCAAGGTGCATATTTCTGGGTTTGTCTTTGTAGAATGGGTTTTGTTCATTGGTTCATTCATTCCTCTTTGATCTTCTGGTTTTTGTGTCTTTGAGTTCAGGTAGCTGATGTGACCTCTGGTCTATAAGGGTATCTCTGTCTGAATGTATAAAAAGATGAAATTTGAAGTGACAATAAAAATGCCTAAATGATGTCATATTACATATTGAAAACATCAGTCAATATTTAATTTGCTCTTTCTTTAGAGAAAGATATTTTTAAACCAAAAATATCAAGGGAATCAAATCCTTTCTAAAGATTAGTATCTGAAAGACAGAGGGCTGATTTACTATACCCGAGAAAGCTACAAGGTAAATAGTCAGTGGAAAAGTTGAGACCAGATAATGCTGATAAAACAAAGTCCTAGTGGACGTGGTGCACGCCTTTAATCCCAGCCCTCAGGAGACAGATCCAGGTGGATCTTTGCGAGTTTGAGGCCAGCCTGGTCTACAGAGCAAGATCCAGGACAGGCACCAAAACTGTGCAGCGTAACCCTGTCTCAAAAAACAAAACATAAACAAAGTCCTACAAATATCAAGTAGTTCAGAATGCAAGAACAGGAGGAAAGAGAAATGCTGAGCCATAGCAGTATTTGTCTTTAGGATGCTGACTAAATTGACAACTGACAGGGTTAGGTGAAAGCTGTGTTCAATACATTAACCTTGAAAGTGAGAATCTGTCATTTAGACAGACTCCTATATAAGAACATCATCCATACCCCCTGTTTTTTACAATTCTATTGTAAGTTAGAGTACGTCTTGGCTCCACTAAAAATAAAACAGTATATGGCCTTGTAAACTCTCTAAGATATTTATAAGTTACTTATTTTTATTATTATTTGACTGCATGCATAATATATGTGTATGTGATCACATGTGTCATTGGGCATGTGTAGAGGCTAGAAGACAACCTTGTAGAGTCAGTTCTTCCCTTCCATATTTGTGTAACTTCTGGGATTGAATTCAAGTCATCAAGCTGATGAGGCAAGAGCCTTTAAGTACTGGACCATCTGATTAGCCCATACACCATCTCTTTTAAAAATATCGTTGTGTATGTGTGATGTGTTTACCGAGGATACCTGTGTGTCATGGCTCACCCATAGAGCTCTCAGAAGTTAGCTTTCTCCTCCATCTCATGGTTTGACTCAAGGTCATGAGGTTTGGATAGTAAAATAGTTATATTGGTTGTCCACTTGACTGGATCTAGAATCCACTAAAAAACAAACAAACAAACAAATAAATAAATAAATAAAACAGCAAAAAACAAAACCAAAAAAACCTACTGATCATGCCTGTGAAGGATTTCTTGATAAGATTATAGGAAATGAGAATGATTATCCTAAATCAAGGTGACCTTCACTTGGCTGCTCAGATAAAAGGAACATGGAAAAGAAGCTTGCATTCTCTCTCTTTCCCAAATTGTTGCTGCATTCCTTCACTGTTTCAGATCCTATGTTCTTTTCTGGGCTGCCTGTGTGAATTGAAGACCACTGAATCTTCAGTACTCCAGACCTTCAGCACCACATTGGTCCTACTGAGGCAGCCAGCCTTGTGGACTGAGCAACTACAGAACTGTTGGTCTCTCCTGTGTTTGACAGACTGTTGTATTGCCCAGAAGGTATCCTATAAGGCACTCTAATAAATTCCTTTTTAACATATATTCATTTTATAAGTTCTGTTCTATAAAATCCTGAATAATACACCAAGAAGGGCTTTTATTAGATGTGACATCTTGCTGGTTCTGTTTATTTTATTGATGTTAAAATATGTCATAGCTTTAACAGTTTTATAACTAATAATGGATGGTAGATGAAATTTCCTTGCATATATTTAAAATGATTGAAATAAATGTTTTCTTGTCTATAAAATATTGAAACAACATTTACTCACACACATAGTTAATAAGTATTTGACTTATAATACATCACAAATATGGTGGAGTTTGGAGATACTGAGACATGGGCCAAGTTTTAAAGTTTTCAGTCTGAATGATATACCTCCACTGTACCTAATACAGTGTATTAAATTGTATCATATTGAAATATACACATACTCCATGAATACCAAGGATTCTTCATTCTGCTTTAAAAAAAAGAGTAGATCAGTATTGGAGTGAATTATGATGCTATCCATAAGACCTATGCTGGCTGCACACCAGGAAGTGAGGAGTGGTTTGCTTTGCACACATGATTCCTATTACTATGTCTTTCACATCTGTCTTAATGAGAAGATTCTCCAATCACCTTTTAAGGCTCAATTAAATTTATCCAGAAAAGAGGAATAAACAAGCCTGGGAACACAACCATAGTGGGACAGATATGATCCTCTATGATGATATTGTGTTTCCCTGTCCTCCCCCACCCCCAGTAGATTTAGAATTAAAGTTTTTGATGTTTCTCTCAAGCTTGCTGCAGAGAAAGACTTGGTGCTATATGAAAAATTTCAGCAAGATACACAGCACACATATCTAGAACTAAAGTTTTATCATTAGTGGTTAAGGGAGGGTGTATAGTCAGGATAAATTTAAGATGTGATGTTCTTTTCTAGGGAGACATGATACAGACTAAACTCCTAACAATCTGACCAAGTTATGAAGGAAAGGGCTGTTCATGATGCATGAAGAAAATAATATTAGAGAAGGGGTAGTTGTAGGGTTAAAAATGTAAGTTCCGTTTGGAAACAATATTTAAAAGAATCATTATAAGAACAGAACAGAATAAACAAAAATTTTGTAATTTTAAAATATGTATAACCTTGTTAGAACTGACAGTTGTATATCATGATCTGCTTGGGAGGTCCCTGGCAGTAGGATCAGAGTCCATCCCTGTTGCATGAGCAGGTCTTTTGGAGCCCACTTCTATGATGGGATACCTCACACAGTTTGGGGGCAGGGGGAGGGCCTTGGACCTGCCTCTAGTAAATGTACCTACCCATGAGAAGCCTTACCTTTTTGTAGGAGTGAAAGGGGGTGAGTTGGGAGGGGGAGGCTGGGAGGGAAGGAGGAGGGAAGAGGGGGATTTTGGTATATAAAATGAATAGATTTTTTTCTTATTAAAAATAAAATAAAGAACTGACATCTATATATAGAGAACTAGATAACCCATGCTATGTTTTGTTTTGTTTACTTTGGAAAATATCAGTTAGCATTTTGAATATATATATATATATATATATATACATATATATATATATATATATGCATTTGATAATTAAATTTGACCAAATAAAATCCTGAGGCAAAGAGTACATTATGAATTTGAGTATTCTATTAAATCTTTTTGGGATAGTTTGGAGGACAAAACATCAAAAGAAAAGAGTTATATTAGGTATATGATTTTATGCACATAAATATCCTGACAATTATTCAATAGCAGATCTAAGGGGCATGGTAATTGGGGAAGGTAGACACTGCCCAAACCTCTTTGATCTGTTTTCTTTGTCAACACCCTGCTCCTATCTTACTATTCTCCTTTAAATAAATACACATTTGAGAAAAAAACTTAGTATGTTGTTCCTGTTTGGGCACACTTAAAAAGAAAACAAAATAAAAAAGCCTAGGCATGGAACTCAGTGGCACAACACATATGTAGTATACCCAGGCCTTGTGATGTGTTGTGATGGCTCAGAGGTAAAGTCACTTGCCAGCAAGAACAACAATCTGAGGTTATTCCCTGGAACCCCTGCACTTATGTATAAAAGATTGTCCTCCAGCCTCCATACATGTGCTAAGTCATGTACATGACCCCACACATATACACATACACACAAACACACACTCACAGATAAATAAAGTTAAAAAATGCTACTCTTAACTCTTACTTAAATGGTAGTAAATTCATCTTCAAATATTTAGCCTTTGTCGAGTGAAATATGTACACTCCATGTGGAGTTGGGGAAGAATGCTCTGTGTATCTCTGTTTCCAAGGAGATTCCTAAAAGAGTTTGATTTAGTCATTTTGAATTTTGATTTCTTGTATATTGCTTCCCTGGATCAGCAAAACTAAGAAAGAGTAAGATTCCAGACTGTGATGCAGCAAGCTGCTCTCCATAAATAGCATTCCTATCTTGTCTCAAACGATAATACAGTTTATGTATTTTCATATTCTTGAATGGGTGTTTCTAGATGATGTTTTCTGTAAATGGGGACAGCTTTTTGTCTTGTCATTTGTCATGTGGTCCGTAGCTTACTGATCCTCTAATATCTTGCTTCTTAGGTGGCTGGCTCACATAACCTCTACTCTGCCCCTCTTCTTCTGAGTCCTTAGTTTGATTCTTCTGCCTAACTTTATCCTGCCTTGCCATAGGCCAAAACAACTTTATTATCAACCAATGAGAGCAACTCATACTCACCGTATACAGAAGGATCATCCCACAGCAGTTTTCCATATGGTCTACTTTTTATTTTAATAGACTCAATAAACATAAAAACTGTGCATTAATGGATATCATGTAATGTTCTATTCCTATATGCATTGCATAACATTTAGATTGGCTTAAATTTATCTACTAAAACATTTGTGAGTTTGTTATGGTTAAAAATTCCCTTTTTAAAGTTTTTGTTTCATTTTCTTTTATTATTTAAAGATTTTTATACAATATATTTTGATCATTTTCTTTCCCCTCCCCCAAGTCCTCTAAGATCCTCTCCACTTACTGACCCATCCTAGTTTGTGTTCTTTCCCTTTCTTAAAAATAATCCCATGCAGATCGGGATCCGTCTTTTAGGAATCTCCTTGATAACAGAGACACACAGAACGTTCTTCCCCTGATGCGTGGACAGGCTTTTGGGAGCCCAGTGCCTGTGGTGTGATGCCTTGTGCAGCCTTGGTGCAGTGGGGAGGGGCTTGGACCTGGCTAGGCTCAGTGTGCCAGGCTCTGCTGACTCCCTATGGGAGACACTGATTTGGGGGATGTGGGGATGTGGGATGGCTTGGGAGGTAGGGCTGGAGGGTGGGAGGAGGGAGAAGGTGGGATCTGTGGGTGGGATCTGTAGAGTGCGTAGAACATTTCTTAATAAAAAAATGAAAGAAAATATTTAAAAAAAAGAAAAAGTAACCACATGCAAATACTAGAAAACAAAACAAAAAGAAAAGAAAAACTAAAAATATAAAAAAATCAAACCAAACAAAAACAAAAAAATCACCTGTACTGGCTGGTTTTGTGTCAATTTGACACAAAATAGAGAAGCCTCAGTTGAGGAAATGCCTCCTTGAGATTTAGCTGTAAGGCATTTTCTTAATTGGTGATCAACCCATTGTGGGTAGCTTTATCCCTGTGGTGGTGGTCCTGTATTCTATAAGAAAGCAGGCTGAGCCAGCCATGGAAGAAAATTAGTAAGCAGGGCTCCTCAGTGGTTTCTGCATCAGCTCCTGCCTCCAGGATCCCGCCCTGTTTGAGTTCCTGTCCTGACTCTGTTTGATGATTTTGATGATGAACAGTGCTTTGTATAAACTGAAGTATAAACTGAACAAACCCTTTCCTCCCCAACTTGCCTTTTGGTCATGGTGTTTCTTTGCAGCAATGGAAACCCTAATACACCACCAAACCATATCAAAAAACTCTTGAAAAGCAATGGATTCCATATTGTTTGGTCAGCTGCTCCAGATATGAAGACTGCTCAATCAGGATTTTTTTTTTCATTCTATATGGTATTTATTGTTTTCTCTCTCTGCACTGTACTTTTATAACCCTGCTTTTCACATTTTAAGACAGAGAATAATCTTTAAAATGGAAGTATCTTTAATTTTTTTCAAAATGAGACATAGACCTTTGAGATTCATTATAATTAATGATATAAGGATAAAATTACAAAACATGTAACACAGAAGTACACTTTTTTCCTAAAATTTATCAGAATCTGATTAATACTAGGGTTCAAAGAGAGTGGGGAACAATATTGTGCATTCAGGAAAAAAAAAGTCACAATTACAAATGAAAACAGCTTAAACTATCAGATGAAAACTATATCACAGAAAGGACCTAAGGAGCTATGAAGAAATGGAGCAGCAGAGTTACTTCTAAAGACACAGGGCTTGGGATGTAAGATTAGCTAAGTTTATTGAAATCACATAGAAACGGAAGATTTCATTTAATATAAAAATGTATATGCATACTATATATGACATTTCTCCTGATGAAAAATGAAATTAAATTAAAATTACATTTTTAATCTCAATTAATTCTTGTTATTTTTAGCCTAAGATATTAACATTTATTAATTCTTTGTTGTCATATTAGATTAGTTGTTTCTGATCAAGCAGCATTTTCCAGAAAATTATGACATTACATTTAAAGTACTAGAGGTTGACAAACAACTGCCAGAATTGGAATTGTGCACAGTGTCCTAGGAAATGCCATGCTTGAAATTTATTCATGGTAGCATAAACATACACTTTCAAGTAAGAAAATGAAATTAGCATTTGCAGATCTAAACAATGTATTTTTTTAGACAACCTTTTGGTTGGTTAAGTAATTGCATTAAACAGTAGATAATGAAAATAAACTGTCATTTTCAATGTATTGTAGTTATGTTTAAAAATAATGTTTTTAGAAAATCAGGTATGTCTTTAAACATTTTAATGACATTTTAAAAAATATCTGTTCTTTATGCCCATAAATATATGGTCAAATGCTGTTGGATTTTCTGTGACATTTCTTTTATCTTTCAAATACTGAAGATCTGAGGATCTGAGGTGACTGTTTATGCCAGCACTTCTTTAGCATGTACTAGGCATCTCTTAAGTGCATTTTGTGTTAAACTGATGTATAACATGGCCCAGGTCTGAACATACCAGGTTTGGAGAGCTGACTTGTTTTATAAAATCATGTAAAAGGTTTCATGAAAGCTGCATATCCTAATCTTGGTTGTAGATAGGCTTCATTGACTTTTTCTAAATTGACTCATTAATTTAAAGAACCAATATAATTAAATTTTTCACTGTTAATGGAACAGAATTTGTATTAAATAGCTCTGATCACTTAGTCATGCATAAGAACCCATGTAAATTAGATTATATATAGTATCTTGTATCTGAACTGTCAATTATATCTACTACCCAATGTGATTACATTCCTGGTCATTTTTTTGGATGTTTCAACACTGCAAATATTTGAAATATATGTTGACTTAGGAATTTCAAGTAAGAATTAAATAAAATATATGTATAATTTATCATTATGTAATACTTTTCACTTAAAGTATCATTAGAACATATTAGCAACTTTTATATTTAAGTTTTATACTCATAAGTATATTGACACTGTCAAACAGCTAGAAGCAAAAAATTCACTAGTATGATCATAACTATGATTATGCATACCCAAACTAAGGAGCATATGTGTTACTTATACAAGAAATATACTTTGTGGAACTTGAATGGAGGATAAAGATTTCAAAATATCAACCTTACTTTTCCCAACAAAATTAACTGCAGGTATCATGTTGAAAATACTCTTTTACAATTATGTTGATATGTCATACCATGACTTAAAAAATCAATTTTGAAAATACAGATACTGTACAGCTAAAACTATCACATTCAATTTACTTTTAAATTCACTAACTGAAGAAGTTCAATGCCCCTTATGCCTGTCTGTATTTGGTTTCTAATAGAAATGGTAGTGTATTATTGGCTGCTCATTGCTTGGTCTTCTGGGACTTGTTTTCAACAGTCTATAGGAATTTATACTAATCTATCCACAGTCTTTCATCTTGGCCTGGAATACAAAAAATATGGTATTTCAAGACCCTATAAGGAATTGCTCTCTGAAGTTAATAGCCAGATATAAATACTTAAGCCATTTAGGACTTATCATGAGGTATGAAGATTGGTGGTTCACAATGAGTCTTGAAGAAAAGTCACCAGTTGGGTGTACTACTTTAACCCATCTGTTAGCAATGCTCGTCTATGAAAGAAACAGTTTTTCAGCTGGTAAGAGTATTAGAAAATTATCATGGATAGTCCAAGTAATCCTTGAGGTATGTGTATACACTTGTTTGGTCTGCTGTATGAGACATGGTCAAAGTAAGAATATTTGTGCTATAATTTGAGGAAAAGAAAGAATGTGACTCAATTGTAGCAGGAATCTTAAAAGATCATATTAATAAGAACAAACGTGGAGCCAGGTATTGGGGTGAATGCTGGAAGATCAGAGAAGCAGAACAAGCCACAGCTTCCTCATCTCCTTAGTTCCTCAGCTGATCCTGTTTCCTCCGACTGGAAGCCTCTGAGTCCTCATCTAAATAAATCTCAGTCGAACTGCTGCTCAAAAGCCTAAAAGCTTAAACAGCCAAAAGCTTCTAGTTTCTGGTCTTCACGCCTTATATACCTTTCTGTTTTCTGCAAACACTTCCTAGAATTAAAGGCTCACTTCCTGGGATTAAAGGCGTGAGTCAATGGCTGTTCCCAGTGTGGCTTTAAATTCACAGAGATCCGGATGAATTAAAGGTGTATAAGCCACTATTTTCTGCCCTCTATGTCTATCAAATGGCTGTTCTGTTCTCTGACCAGAGATAAGTTTATTAGGGTGCACAATATTTGTGGGGAACATAATATCACCACACTCAATTTTCTATTTTCACTGCTAATGATGAATATAAAACTATAGCAATCATGTAAAAAGGACATATGCACTCAAATATACTATAAATGATGAATGTAAGAAGTGGCACCAAGAAATAACTGCAGAATAATTAAATTACAAATAACATCTATGATTTTCTGACTTGTTGAAAGAAAAAGAATAATGAGGCTAGGCAGTGGTGGCGCATGTCTTTAATCCCAGCACTTGGGAGGCAGAGCCATGCAGATCTCTATGAGTTCAAGGCCAGCCTGGTCTACAGAGTGAGATCCAGGACAGGCACCAAAACCACACAGAGAACCCCTGTCTCAAAAAATTAAAAAAAAATCATGATTTATATTTAAACTTTCTAAATAATTGGCTGTGTCATATGCTATGTATGTTATCTAGCATTCCACCCACTTTATTTCCCTAATAACTTTTCACTGAGAAGAGCATGTATAGAATTATTAAGCTTCTATTTACTTCCCTGTTACAAAATATGGATTTTTTTGTAATAGAAATTACATACATCTGAACTAGGCAAGAGAGAAATGTCATTAGCAAATGTCTTAGCTAGGATTTCTATTGCTGTGATAAAATACTATGACCAAAAATAACTTGGGGAGGAAACCCTTATTTCAGTTTACAACTTTCCATCATCAAGGAAGGCAGGGCAGAAACTTCAACAGAGAAAAAAATCTGGAGGTAGAAACTGAAGCTAAGGCCAGGGAGAAGAGCTGCTTACTAGCCAACTCATTACGGCTTGCTCAGCTTGCTCTTATACAGCCTAGGAACAAGTGCCCTAAGGGCCACCTACACCAATTATCTATAAAGAAAGTGTTCCACAGGCATGCCTGAAGGCAAATCTTGTGGGGACATATTCTTAGTTGAGGTTCTTTCTCTAAAAATGGCTATAATCTGTGTCAAGTTGATGTAAAACTACCAGCACAACTGGAGAGGCTGATGAGATTTGAAACTCAATTGTTTCCACATTTAGAAGTGAAATTATATTGCTGTGGAGTGGAAGACTAGAGATGAATATTTCATAGATTGAAAATTCTGAGACACTTGAAAACTATTTGTTTATTTGGGAAAATGTATAAGAAGATTGTAACAAATATTTTTCAGTTTGGACTGCCTAACATATACTGAAGATCTTCCAGACATTTTGGATTTCTACATCTATCTTGAAGAGACACCAGCTCATTTGACAGAGGCCACACATGTGATTTGGGCTAAGGTGAAAACATCATTATCTCGGGAACCTCAGACTTTCTGGAAAGTTATGAGGAAATAAGGCTTGAGTCACCTTTCTGCTGCGAAGAGGACTGTCAAGGACAGCAGGTATCCATGGCATTGGTGGCAACATGAACTCCACAGTGGCAAAGTCAGCTTCTGGGGAAAATGCTGTCAGTAGATCTAGTGATTTCCTAGGGTATTTATGTAGAGCTTAATGGTTAATGTGTTGTTTATCTTAAAAGTCTAGACATAATCTTATCCCATTGACATTCTGGGGAACTTACTAATCATCCTCTGTAAATTCTTTCCTGACAAATACCTTGGTCTACAACTATGTCTTTTTTCTATCTGACACTAGTTACTAGTTATACAATGTGGTTGAAATACTTTGGTATCTATGAATTCCATTTTCATCATCAAATAAGGTGAAATTAAACTTTGAATCTTGGGTTCTCAACAGATGTTTGTTGAAATTTATTTCCTTCTTAGACTGATTTTTTTTATAACTCAGCAGTAAAGATGATTCTCTCTTATTCTCAATGATTTTACTATTTGGCTATCAAATTTATGTAGAACTAAAATTGGTGATAGAGTTTCATATTTACCATCTAAATATAGATTGGGCTATATAATAATTTTCAAGTATAAAATATTAAGATATCAACTTAGACAGAATAAGAGGAAAAGAATTCATGAAGATATGTTGGCTGCATCAAGAGAAAAATTAAGATCCAAACAAAGTTATGAAAATACTTAATGATTATATTAAGAAAACAGCAATATTGTCCTAAATTTTTCCGTTTATTCTAACATGATAGTGAATGATATTGAATGCCTTATTCTCAACTTACTTCTTACAGAACCTTCTTTCATTGTCCCTTCCTGAAAGACAACAGCTGAACTTAATTTCTTTTCAATATCTCCTCTGCACCTGCCCCAGAACCATGCTAAAAGTATCTAGATCACACACACACACACACACACACACACACACACACACACACACATAAGCTCATAGTAAAATAACAAAAACTTAGATGCTTAAATAATGTAAGCATAAAGCTGTTTTGCAGTGTGACAAAATCATGAACTCTTGTGCTGCTTAACTTCTCTCAGGTATATTTTTCTCAACTATGAAAATAAATGGAGCCATTAATTAATTCTCAAGGTAATTATATTTGGTACAGTACAAAGAGGGATGCTTAATATTATCCTTGGCAATGAGTTAGCAGTCTGCAAATGTTAGCTCTCATATCTTACCCTCAGGACCAATTAATAGTTTATATACATATTACATAAGATAGTAATCAAAATAAATAAAATAATTTCAAGAAGGAATATAAGGCATGTTCATAAAGAAATACTTTCACTCTCACATTTTGTCAGCACTTTTTACAATACCTAAATTATAGACTCAAATTAATTACCCCTAATAGACTAATGTAACTGTTCAAAAGCAACTTGCCCAAGCTACCTATACTTTTAAGTGTTTAAATCATTTCTCTAATTTTTTTCTGTTTTTGAATGTATTAATAATATACTCTGAGTCACCAATGATTAATTGGTATTGTATTAAGGAGTGAAATTAAAGCATTTCCTTTGGTGGCATTTAACTAGGAAAAAGATTGAACATGAATTCTCTACTTCACTCTTCTCATATCCTCCATACCCTTGTCTTTCTGTTGCAGGAGTCTGAATCTGTGCCTGCTTGTAGGCTGTCTTGTGAAACTATCCTTGTCCCTGTGTTTCTGTCTTTACCTAACACATGGCATTGCTCTGTAGTTACTGAACCTCACAGAATGCATCTTTAACAGGATAAACTTTAACAGAGTTTTAGAAGAGGTTATGTTACTGACTTCAACTGATCTCAACTGACACAAATAATAAACATCACTGCTTATCAAGTAATATCTGTATGTTGTATTCAACATTGATGGCAGATTGCTGTAAGCCACAATAAAATGAAGTAGGATTTCAGTTGATTATGACAAAGCTATAATTGGAAGAAGCCAAAGGCTTTTCAGAGGTAAAGCCAAGGCTTAAGGAGTCTTGGTGATATTTGGCTTTTGATTATTAACTGTTTCCTGACATGAATTTCTCATGTGCTATTGTAGCTTTCCCATCATTTATTGGGTATACCATTTCCCCTCTACTAATAGAATATTTAGATAACCTTCTGTGCTGACAGCTTACACAGCCTTAACCCCAGTTCAAGCCTCCCTGTAATTATCGTCATTAGCAACATCTGGCCAGGACCATCCCCTGATAGATGAAAATATCTTATCAGAGATACCTATGTACTCTCTATGAACAGACTTAGGCATCCAGCCTATCTGTTTGAGAAGGCCTGGCAGATGTGCTAGTTAAGCTTAACTTTCTCCCTTTCCAAAGACTTATGTCTAATTTTATATCTACCTTTAACTATTAACTCAGAACTAAAAAGTTTCTACTTATAGGTACATCAAGCTGACTCAGGCTCCCCAGCCACGGAGTACACTCTCCTGCCCTGCCAGAAAGCAGTAGCTAAGATAGCTTGGACAGAAAGGGGGCCACAGGAAAATAAGGCTGTTTTATTTTCACTTGTCACTGATAGACTCTTAACACTTTAACTAATCGCTTAGATGAGCACATAAAATCCCCCTTGCTCAGATATTAACCAAATTTAGCCCTCAGTTGATTCTATTCCCCATTAGATACTTCCCTTGTGGGTTGCTGAAGATGGCTGGCAATTACTGCTCTTTTTTTTTTTTTTGATCCTGAGTGAATTCAAGCCTGGTGACCTTGATTTAACCAGAGTATTGCTGTTGCATGGATATATAACTGTAAACCTCAGAGACTTGGGAAGACTAGACAGAGAAGAGAAAAGAGAATGGAAAAACTAGATGGGTAAGAACTGGAGAGGAATGAGCTAGATGGGAAAGAACTAGATTGAAGGGCTAGAAGACAATACTAGAGGAATGAGATGGAAGACATCGAAGAGCCAGATGGGGAAGAACAAGATGAGAAAGAAGGAGATGGGAGAGGAGTTTAGATGGGAAAGAGCTAGATGGATAAGAACCCAGATGGGGCAGCATTAAGATAAGAGAATTAAGATCCAACTTAGAGGGGACAGCAGATAAATGTAGAGAGAAATTAGGCAAGAAAGGAGCTAGGCATAAGAGCAGAATAGAACCTATGTAGAGAGAGAACTGACTCAGAAGAATAAAGTGTATGGACTAAAGAATTTCATGTATGTAGATTTATTAGAGTGTCCATTAGGTTATTCACCACTGGTAGCATCTCTTCTGGAACTCTGGGGAAAACTATCGGAGGGGCTGGACCCCAGTAGCTTTCAATAGTAGATATTCATTTTATAAGACTGATTTCAGCTTTTATTTGTGTTTTCTATCAAATGATTATCATAACACAAATGCATTATTCTGGGTCAGGGGTATGGAAGAATACAGAATTTAGGATTACAGCTGTGCATTAACTTAGATGGTATATATTGACTACATGGGAAAGCTGAGGCAAGGAAAATTGATTGTCACATTTTTCTCTTAAAAGTGTATTAAATAAACAGGCTAAGTACACAATAGGATAGAAGTCTTTATTGACTTCAAGGTGTATTATTAACTCTGGCTGTGAAGTTCAGAGAAAGTCATAATTCCTTACAATGTAAGAGTTTTTATCATAATTCATTACTATAGGATTGTTTATATACCTTTGTATGAGTACACACACATACGGAGATACATAAGTCTATTTGTAACTATAGGTCTATGCTTATCTATCTATTCATCTATATCTATTTATGAAATAGGATATGCTATATGAAATAAGACAGAGTAACACACCAGCATGATTGTATTTATTTGCTGAATTTATAAGAGTCAAATTTCAAGAGAAAGAAAAATGTTAGTTTCCAACAGTTGAAGCAAAGAAAATGGAGAGATAAAGATCACATGTTACAAAATTTCTGTTATATGGAATAATTAAAATCTGGAAAAATGCTCTTCTGCAGAATGTTTATAATTAAAAGTATAGACTGTATAAAATTTGCTTATAGGATACGTCTTATATTAGGTGCTTTTGCCACAAAACTGACATGAATACTAATTGAGATGGGAGGAAACTTAGGGAAATGCTGGAAATTACTATAGGTTTGGTATTGGTAATATTACTAGTTTATGAGTGTGTACATATGCTTGTCACCAAACTTATTAATTTGCATCAAATATGAAAATTATCCTACAGGACAATCATAATTTAATAGAGTAGTTAAAACAACAATATATTCCTAGAAGAGAATAGAAATGTAGAATTTCTCTTTATCAAAAGTAAAAAAGAAAAGTTTACAGTATTGAAAACTTTTGGAAAGCTCTGCTACTTAAGGCTGTAGTTGCCATGTCTGGACAGCTCTCCGAGCTTAGTGCAAAATGGAAGACTCCCTCCCTTCCCCCAGCAGGACTTCCTACTATCTCTCTGCCTGACCTTATTTGGAACTTGTCTCTGAGCCTGGATGCCTGAATTATCTTAAGTGTAACCTTTGATAGAGTTCCCTACAAATAATCTCCTCCTCCTGCTCCATATGATAATTATGTGTTGTGCTCTAATCTTCATGATGGGACTGTGCTGCCAAATGCAAATGAAGCATACTATGAGCACCTATTAAGTGATGTCCCACTTGCTGTCCCTCTCCTATATATTCTCCTCACTATGGAATAAAGTGTCTCACTGAAACTGAATCCTGGAAGACTAGTTCCATTCTATTCACAGCCTTACAAAGCCCTGTTTGCAACTTCTGCTTCCTTTGTCCTGACAGACTGGTAGCCAACAGACCATGAGGAAAAGTTATACCCCACAGAAAATGCCTCACTTTCCTTTAAAAGAACCTTATCACAATTCAGACAGGTTACACACTATGCATGTTTGTAGCTTTCCCTTTTGTAAAGCAAATCATGTGGGTCATATAATCTCAAATGATGTTAATTAATTGTATAGATTTTTTTCTATACTTACTTGGTTATTTTTATTATTATATGAAAATATTATTTAATTTCTTTTGTTCACTTTTTCATCTATAAACCGAATTTTCACCCAGTTAGATAGCTTATCAGGTAAAG